TTGATTTGTTTAGGAAATGATTTCAGTTTACTGAATAAATCGAATAGCAACGAATATCCAGTTTTATTCTCTGATTGTTACTCTGTCAAGCAATCAGGGTCAGTTTCTGGAAACTAAAAAACTACCACAAAATGGGTGTCGCCTTGACGTGGCTTTGTGGCTTAATGTGTGAACGTTTTATTTAAGTTTTAAATATAAAATTTTCCACTGACTAAGTGCACCCGACAGAAATTTTGTTTCATAGAAGTTGAATATAAGAATGAATGGTAGATGTGATCCATCTGGATGTCAGGTCCGGCAGATCCTTTACCGCTCCAGTTACGTGCCTGGCTGTAGGGGGCACGTAAATACGTTGTCATCAATTTTAAGTTCTTTTTTGACTACCTATCACACCTGTTACATTTTGTCATCAAATTTTAGACATTCCCCCATAGTAGTGTTACGTTTGATCTGTCATCCCGATAAAATCAAGCAGTTAGTTACAGACGTTTGGATCTACTGTACATTAATTTATTGAAATTTTCTGCCAACGCGAGAATAGAGAAATTTCGGCCGTCGTATTCAGCCCAAAATCACATTACCGTGCTATGTTTTTACTCTTGATCATTACGCCATTATTCTTTGTATCCAAACTTTTGTTATACTTTTGTATAATTTAATTAGTACCATTGTATCGAATTAGAACAATTACGGACAGATCAGTGTTTATAAACGAGATTGTTGCTCTTGCAAAAAATTACTCAGTTTTGTAATTCTTTTTTTTTTTCGTTTAGAAGTTTCTTTTAGGAATTACAAAACAAAAAAGTAGCGTATTCACGTAAGGATTCGCCTCCGATTATGCGGAACCGCGGTTAATCGGGGTTCTAGCGTACACGAAAATAAAACTCAAAACACTGAAATCGAAATAACTGTCGATTTTAACTATTTCGATAACAATCTTTACAAATTTAAAATGTATCATTGATGTTTAACTATAAATAATGCACGAAAGTGATTTCTTGTTTTTTTAAGAATTTTAATTTACCGAAAAGAGAATATAAATTCATTTATGTCGGATAAAACAAAAACACGAGAAATTTTACTTTTTAAAACCATTTATTTATTTTTTATTTGTTAATTAGGATAAATGTCTCTTCGTGACATTTTCAGAAATGTAATTTATTTCTTTGGTTTATTTTATTATACATTATCCCAAAAGGTTTAAATTTAATGGAGTTTAAAAATTTAATCTATAATGGAAAAACATAGAGAATTAATAGGAACAGAGCCAAGGGTGATGTCGAGGAGAACCTTTAAAACTCCATCGGTTGGAATTATAGAATTAAGAAGTTCATAGAGTAGACTATTTACATTGCTACAATCAAACTCTTGATAGAGTTGATTTTGAAGGCAAATAATGAAACTCTCCATTATACAGCACGGATGATAACTTGTAGACGAATTTTCACAACCACAATATGCATCCATTCGACTTACAATTGTTAGTATAGATTCTATGGTGCAATTCACAAGGACTTCTACAATTCGTCTATTACTCGGGTCACAGATAAAGTTTGCGAACTGTGTGATATTTAATATACACTGTAGATTGGGGCAAGTACTGTTGGTACTCATTTCTACCTCATTTACAGAATTATTCACGTATTGAATTATTTCTCCAACATTCTAGAAATAAATAAGAAATATCAATTATTAAAGCGTGAAAGAAATTTTATATAAGGTAAATTTATATTACTTTAGATCACACGAAAGATCGATACTGGGAAANATGAAAACTTCGGCCGCAACCTCGCTAATGATTTTGTACAGTTAGTATGATTCGAATTTCATAGCTATTTGTTTTATATTTCATTCTCAACGCTTCTTAAGTGTGCGTGAAAAATAATTCCATTTAAAAATTAAATAATCTTAAACACAGATTTATCTCCGATAAATAAGATTTCACACCGGAATAAACTGATAAATCTCCTAAGTATTTAAATGGAACAAACAACGCATTTATTATTATTTCAAGACGATTCGGGCAACGAACGAAATAAGCGAAAAACCGAATAGTCCGGTTTTAGACTGGATTTTTACAGACACAAAATTGATTATTGTTGTTATTTCTTCAATATCTCAAATCTTAATGAGTTTATCGATGTTAATACAAGATTTTTAACAGCTTTGTTGAATAAACTGGAAGTTAACATATAGTTACTTTATGTCTATATAATTATTTATGAATAAATGAACTTTTAAGCGACTATAAACGAACGGATGCGATTTCTATTTCGACGATGGCATAAATATTATAAAATTAAAGTTATTATGTCAGTAAAAGCTGTCATGAATTAATAAGTAGATTTCCTGTAGTTAAAAATCGTTAAATCATCTGAATAATATCGTACGACATAATTGAATGAGTTATCGAAGGGTGAAGACTTTTTAGTAATTAATAATGAATAAATTATTATTATTATTATTATTATTGCGACTATTATTATTAGAATAATTATATTTTAAAACATTAGGTTAAGTAATACAATGTATTATGATCTTTAAAATACTTTTACGCCATCTGAGGACAGAAATAAGAATTAAATTGATTCAAAATTTAACTGTGATTCTTAAATAAATGATATAAATGATTGGCCGAGTTCAAATCGATCCAGACATTAGCGATTTTTTTATTGGTAGATTTTGTTTTTGATTGATTATTGGTAGATTTTTTGTTATGCTTTATGGTGCGGTCTTCTGCACAATCAGATTGTTGAACTTTTTTTTTTTTTTGGCCGAAAATATAGTATATCTAGATACTGTATGCTTGAAATCTTTGCTGTATCCAGATAACAGCCATGCAGCCAACCAGAATTTTTCAGAAGGATGGTAATTTCCCAAATCGCACCTTTCCTGGCAGTTGGATGGATCATAATTATCCAATAAATGGTACAAATGCTCTTCTAGTGTTCGTGTTTCTCCGATTGTCGCGCCAATATATTTCTTGTATGTCAAAAGAAAATATATGTCAAAGTTAGTGTAAATTACAAATTTACTGTAATTATGAATTGGAAACAGCACATACTAGATGCCAAAAGCTCTGTTACAGTAAACATGTTGTAGAGCGCAAGGTATGAAAAAGTATCCATGTGGAGATGTACAGAACTGAATTTAATGAAACTCACAAAGTTTTCAGTTATGATCTTCATTATTTGTAAAGGTATTTTCCTTCTAACTGCATGTGCTTAAAATGTTGGTGGACACTCTGTATATTAGAATTATTGGATGCATAACGAAGACCAAATACAGGTATGTAGATATAAAACCGGTTACACGCAATATCGATTTTCGATGAATAATACACTCAGCACAGTTTTGCAATTATGGGGGTGATTAAAGTTTTCATCATCAGAAATCAATCCAGTATAGCAATTGAAATGATTCTCACTTTGACTAATCGTCAGATTTGAATTCCTGCAAAATCTGTACCTTGCAGGCATCCATGCGTAATCGATAGTGAAGAATTTTATGAACAGTCAGCCGTTTATTCAATGTTTCTTGCTGATGTCTGACTGATTCTCGCAGACTTCTTTTACAAGATACATTTCTGCAATCTCTTCTGGGATGCTGGGAATCCTAACCTGGGATTTCTGCCACCACGTATTTACAACACATAATCAGAGACGGCCAAATGGCCGAGAGGTTAATATGCCAGCCTATCGTTCAGGGAGACCCAAAAACAAATTCAGACGGGTCGAAAAATTCCTGGTGGGAGTGGTATATATCGGGCTCCGTCTTTACATCTGGCCATCCTATTATGGGCCTGGAAGAACCCACGATGGGCTTGATACCCTTAATACTACAGGGTGAAATGAGTAAAAAACACTACCGATCACAAAAAACACTACTTAATAGTTTTAAATCTACAGTTAGTTTACCAATTTTTATTTATTTATTATTTTTGGAATAAATTTCGCGCTACTGTACTGTTAATATGCATATTATATGTTTTCTAACGAATTTTAGAAGTTAAGAAGCTATATATCGTAGGTCGAGAAAACCCTAGAAACTTGTCGGAGATGGTTCTGTCCCGATTGTGAGCCTGGCCGAACCCACGATGAATATAATTATTAACAAATTGTAATCCGTTGAAATTGACCGAAGAGAAATAGGAAAAAAATTCATTTTTATTTAAAAAGTAAGCAAAGTTGTTGAAATTGTAATTAAAATACAGTATTTGTAATTGATAGTAATTAATGAATATAATGACGGCTGTAACGTATGATGTAATTGTTGTGACGTCTTGAATTAACGAACAATTCTTTCGATTGTTCGACTTGACTTTTGTTGGACACTATCCATATTTTTGTATAGATTTCGATGAGAAAGATCTCCGAAAGGTAAATAATTTTCATGTATTGATGTATTGAGAGTATATTGATTATATTTAAATAAAATCTTTGTATATAATGGCACTCTTAGCGTTTAAAAGTCCAAACTACTGTATTGTGTTTAGGTCTACGATGCGGACCTATTAGTCTCCGTTCTCGAATTTTAAAATATGAGGAGCTTGAAAAAAGGCACACAAAGTACTAAGAATAAAAAATAAACCATTAGACATATTAGAAGAAGTCTTTAGAGAAATCTGGTCCACGACTACAGGAAAGAAGGATATGTTGCTTCAATAGAATACAACGATTTGACATCTATAGGCCTACCTACTTTATATTATATTTTATAAATTTATAAGACATATTTTACAAAAAATTGTAATTAAAACATTTGTAATTTGTAGTTTTTAATTAATTTATAGGCTATGTCATGCGCGACGTAATTGATGTGACGACAGCAATTGTTTCGAATTCTTCTATTTGTTTATTGTTGAACACCATCTTAAGACGGAGATTTCTCCAGAAATTTTACCCTTTTTCTGGTTCCCTTTTGACACTTTTGAAAGGATTTTGGTGAGAAAATTCTCAAGTATGTAAGCAATTTTTGTTCTAATTCACATTGTATTATACTGTAATTATTTAGTAATATAAATAAATATTAGAGATAGACTACACTTCAAATAGTATTGTAAATCGGAAAGTTATTTGGTAAGAACTTATAATATGGTAATTTTGTATTAATTATGTCGATAGTATCTCAATTCTCAATGCGTTAATATTATAATTAATATATAGTAATTGTATTTTTTAATAGTTTTATACAATTGTATCTAACACATATAATTCAAGTTCTCGTTTTGTGTTCTATGCATAAAGTTTATTTCATACTTTAATGTAAGAGAAAGTGCGAGTATTCAGGTAATAGATTTATTTTCAGGTTACGGTGTTACTAACAGGACGTGGTGGGATGGCGAATGGCCTCGCTGTCTCTACAAAATGCCACAATAGTCCTATGACGGTAACACAACGTGGCAACATCATGCCGCCACTAAAATAAGCATGAAACCTATTTAATGTAAGAGAAAGTGCGAGTATTCAGGTAATAGATTTATTTTCAGGTTACGGTGTTACTA